TTGTTGTGGATGACTGCGTCAGCGCACAGGATGGATCCTATGTCCTCATGGACTCAGGAGTCGACGACGCCATCTACCACTACCCCCAACTGGGATCCATACAAGGTATGGAAGGACCGCCAAAGGTCTGTATGGCGTGTTGATTGAGCAAGACCTGCTGATCACATGGCCCAACTCAACCAGTTTTTCACCGGAGTTCCAGCATTTGGTCCAGACGGTGGAGGGCAACCTCGAAGGCTTACCAAGAAGGCAAAGCCAAGGGTGCATTTCTCGCAAGAATCTGTACCACAACCTCCAGCGTCCATCTTTGGAGGGCTACCGCAACATGATCAGGACTGGTCAATAAGCTGCAGTATTACTAGCAAAACAACACTGAAAGCAAAAGTTGAGGATTTTTCTGGTGGTGCATAGCAATTCTTGTGATTAATTGGATATAAGGACCCCCGCAACACTTTAGACCTAAAACTCCCTTGGTTCCTTTGCATGATCAATTTACATGCGAACCGGACTAGATGATTAATACACGAGTCAATAGTAAAGAGGTGTCAGGTATGTTTCCTCCAACAAGTGGGCGCTCATGGGATGACTTACAAGATACTGACGGAGTCAGGCAAGGTCATATGCAGGGCGGTGGCCAGGACGGCAAGGAAGGGAGCTGAACTCAGCAACTGGAAGGCCGATGGACTAGCCCCGAAACTGGCCCCCAAGCCAAAGCCAATCTCAGGACAGAAGGCCTCCACAAGCGAAGCTGACCTTGTAGTCGGGGCCGCTCCGGAGACTGAAGTGATTGAGAAAGGCATTGAGATAGAGGAGACGGAGGAGAATGGGGAGTTTCACAACTCCATACGCAAGGATATCCTATCCAACCTTGAACACAAGGATGTCCTAGACGGTGGCGACCTGCCAATCATTGACATCACCAACCTTCTTAACAGGACCTTTATCACCCACCCCAACGAGGAAGGCGAGCAGCATAGAGCCAAGATTGTGTCTGCCGAGGCCACAGGAGAAACCAACGCAGACGGATCAGCAGCTGTATACAGGTTCAAGTGTAAACATGGGGACGAGTACTTTGAGGAAGTTTTGCATACTCAAAAATGCTGGAATGTGTGAAAGGGACCTGGACAAGGATGACATGTACCGGATTGAGGCTGTCATTCGACATCGTCCCTCCCGAACTAAGTCCAAGTACGAGGTGCTGTATTCGATGGGCCAGTGGGGAGACTTCTTGGGAGGATATGGGGAGCATCTTCAATGATGACCCTGTGTCAATTTCCATCTACGCATCAAAGAATGGCCTGCTCAAGGTCGATGATGGAAGCGATGCAGGCCCTACACCAAGAACTCCAAGGTGTTCGCACGTATGGTACATCAAGCAAAGTTGAAAAGCTTCCGCACCAAGCCCATTTATCAATATGGTTACCAGGTCCCAAGAAACCACGCCGAAGCTGTTTTCATTGATGAGAAAAATGCAACAGTAGTGGCAGGATGCAGAGAGACTGGAGATTGCCCAGTTGATGGAATACGACACCTTCGAGTCACTGGGAAAGGGTACCCCAGTCCCAACAGGCTACCAGAAGATACCATGTCATATGGTCTATGCCGTCAAACACGACGGGCGGCACAAGGCAAGGTTTGTGGCAGGAGGCACAGGACAGAGACACAGTCGACCCAACCTACTCAGGTGTTGTGTCCTTACAGGGCATCCGTCTGGTTAGTTTCTTGGCTGAGTTGAATGGGCTTGAACTCTGGGCAACGGACATGGCAACGCATACCTGGAAAGCTACACGACTGAGAAGGTGTGTTTTATTGCTGGTGGGGAGTTTGGAGACATGGCTGGGCATACGATGAAGATGATCAAGGCCCAATATGGCCTCAAGTCATCAGGCAAAATGTTGGCATGATAGACTGTATGATGTGCTTCACGGATTTTGCTTCAAGCCCTCTAAGGCTGAGCCAGTATCTGGATGCGTGATTGTGGCGACCACTATGAGTACATCGGTTGCTATGTGTACGACCTATTGATAGCTTCAAGCAACCTCAAGTCATCATCGTCTACTGCAGGCTCCACCACACAAATTCAAACTCAAAGGAACTGGACCTTTCACCTTCCATCTGGGATGTGACTTTGAAAGGATGGCGACGGATCCTGTCATGACACCAAGAAAGTACATGAACGTGTCAAGGCCCAGTATGTATCCTTGTTTGGGGAGAACCCATCCACTAAGGTAACCAGTCCAGTGGAGAAGAACGACCACCCAGAGCTTGATACCTCTCCTCTCCTGGATGATGATGGGTCTCAAAATACCAGTCCCTGATTGGAGCATTGCAATGGGCAATTTCACTTGGAGATTTGATATTGCAGTCTTTGTAATGTCAATGTCGTCCTTCAGGGTGGCACCCAGGTGGGGCACTGGAAAGACTCAAGAGATCACTGGATTCTTGGTCAAGATGAACAGGCAGGAATCAGGATCCGCACAAACGAGCCAGACTACTCTCAACTGGAATACCGAACCTACGACTGGACAAGGACGGTCTATGGGGAGGCACAGGAGGAACTCCCAGTAGATGGCCCCACAGCCAAAGGGCAAGCCGGTAGTATTGACGACCTATGTGGTTGCAAACCTATACCACGATTGGGTGAATGGCAAGGAGTCACTGGTGTACTGCACTATGTGAACCAGACCCCATTCGAATGGTACTGCAAGAAGCAAGCTACTGTGGAAGCAGCCACATACGGCTCTGAGTTCGTTGCTGCTAGGGTTGCACCCAACAGGCCATTGCGCCAGAGTTACACTCAGGTATCTTGGTGTGGAGGTAAAGGGGCCAACATAACATGTTTGGCGACAATGGGTCTGTGGTGACAAGTTCCACCCAGCCCCATTCGCCCCTCAAGAGAGACATCACGCCCTCTCTACCACTTCGTCAGAGAAGCATTGCCGCAGGGACCATCTCGTTTAATCATCTACCGGGAGCAATCAACCCGCAGACATCCTGACGAAACACTGGGGTTACTCCCAGATATGGCCCATTCTGAAGGCAGTTTTGTTCTGGCAAGGAGACACAGCTATCTCCTAGACACCACCATGGACACATCACATGGTGGGGAGCGATGAGTGGAAATCCACGTGATTCCCATTGTGGTGCGAAGCAGCTGTGCTGGTTTAGCCAGGTGGAAGAACGCTGTGACATCTGTATACTCAAACAGTAGGGTCAGCAGTGCAGCCATCTGGCAATACAGAAATAGCTGAGGAACTCTATATACCCAAGGATGATGCGTTCTCAGCCAAGACCAATATAGAAAGTTAGCTTGCAGCACCAGCCAAAGAGATGCAAGAGAGCCAAAGCTGCATGGCTAGTGCTGTCGAGGATTTTTGTTAGTTGATTTTAGTATAGTTTAAGAAGAAGAGTAATGAAAGGATAGTTGCCAGATACAGCCTCAGTACACTAGTTTCCCCACAGTTGAAGCCTTCCTGTGTGGATTGTGCAAGGCAAAGAGTGAGTTGTTCAATCATTGCTGTGGAGATTGAATAGCAGCGGCAGCCAGCTTTGTGGCTGGCCCATTCCCACTGTCAAGAGGAGTGAGGCTTCAAGCAGAGCTCTCCACTCCAGCCAGCTCTTTGTGCATCTACCCTGACTGGATCTCATCGTTCGCCAAACGCCATCTCACTTCTTCTTTTTCCCAGCACTTGGAAGTATTGGCACTCTCCAATGCTCCACGCAAAGGGAATTGCTGCTGTTATTGCCTATGACATGTACATTGAGCTCTGTGAAGGCAATGTCAATCCTGATTGGAAGATTGACAAGCCTGTTGGCTTCTATCGCTTCAGAGAGAAGCTAGCAACACAGATGTTGGAATATTGCCCCACAGCAAGGAAATACCCAGGAGATGAGAACTTCCGGTTGGCGACAAGGCAACCAGTCAGTCAGCGGACGCCAAAGAAACGAAAGACCCCGCCCAAAAGTACAACAAGCGACTCTTCTTCCTCTGGCACTGCTGGACCATTGACTGCACAAGATCTGCAGGATGCTAATTGTCGCCTCTGTGGCAGGCTGGATCCACTTGTCGACCATTTGGACTCATTCAAAAGATTCCCCAACAACAGAACAAAGACTTGTGTGGTCTGTGGAAAGCAGGCTGCTCATTATTGTGAGTTGTGCAATAAGGCCATGCACCTCGATGCTCCCAAAGAGGACAAGATTGCAACCATTGCCTGCTCCATCCACTATCACAACACGTCTTTCTTTGGCCTTGCACGAGAAGATTGGGAGGTAATGCAGATCCGGAAAAAAGACTGGGCTTTTCCATCCAGGGAGAAGCAACAACAACACTCCTTCGCAATGAGAGACATCCACAACCAAGCTCTCTCGAGAAGTGGTGCATCACATGCTGCTAGCCACAACAACAGCACACCTTCAGCAGCTAACAAGGACAACGGCAACAGTGACGACGATCAGGCAAGACCTGGCCATGGTATCCTTTGAGCGTAGCCTCTGTACCAGATAACACTGTCGACTCGGTTGCCGGGTTCGCACAAGTGAGTCTAAACAGCAATTAAGAAGAATTCTTTGGATCGACAATGGCGTCTACGTGACTTTTGTACTAGGTTGCACCCGTCGACTGCGTCGACTGGTGAAAATGCATCAGCAATGGTGTTGCCGGTACTTGGAGCCCAGTCTAAACGATAATGGTGGAAGCATTGATACGGTACTGTAGGCATTTATTATTATGGAGACTTAGTACAAACTATAATGCTAACTCTTTGAAAGCCGCAGTTGTATTTCTTTCAATGGGTTATGAGCTTCTAAAGCAGCCAGCCAGTCAGTCGTCCACGCACTCTTTGCTGGCTCTGTCGTGGCGTGGTTGCAGCCAGCAAAAAGGTTTCGATCTGTTCGTCGTTGTGTTGCAGCATTTTATTCCTCTCGCATTGTTCCTGTTCCCTTGGACAAACGATACAGTATCGAGTGTAAGAGAAGAAGAAGAAAGAAGAGAGAAGAAGATGTTTTTTGGTGGGGATCCGTTTGAACACTTTGCGCATGGCCATGGCGGCGGTGGTGGTCGTGCCCGACGAGGTCCTGCTGAAGATGTGGACACAACCAAGTTATACGAGACTCTCGGCGTAAGTACCATACCTACGAATGAATGAATAGTGACCATGCGAGCATTGCGGTTGTTCTCACTCCTTTTTGATTACGTCTCTCTCCTCTGATTTGAATTGAATGTTGAATGGAATCTGAACCACTATGATCATGACTGGACGGCCCACCGACAACACGACAATCTAAATGCTGAATATTACTCTACAATCGACACGATGGACGACCGACCAACCAACCAACCAACCAACAATTGAATTCAATCACAAACGATGACCCAAACAAACATGAACAACAAATAGATTGAGAAGACTGTGGACGAGAAGGAAATCAAGAAGGCTTATCGCAAGGTACGTTGGTTGGTTGATCAAGACTGTACTATTTTGCGCTGATAAAAAGAATGACGACTCGACTCGACTCGACTCACATGTTGTATGTATTGTATGGTTTGTGTTGACTGATTGCAGCTCGCGGTGAAGCATCACCCCGACAAGGGAGGAGACGAACACAAATTCAAAGAAATCAATGCCGCTTATGAGATTTTGTCGGACCCCGAAAAGCGAGCCAAATACGACAAGTACGGTCTGGAAGGACTGGAAGATGGAGGTGGACCAGGAGGAGCCAGTGCCGATGACTTGTTCAGCATGTTCTTTGGTGGTGGCCGTGGACGACGAGGCAGTGCCGGACCTCGTCGTGGTGAAGACGTCAATCATCCCATCAAGGTCTCGTTGGAAGACCTCTACAATGGAAAAACGGTCAAGTTGGCCATCAATCGACAAGTACTCGTCGGAGAACCAAAAATGTGCTCCACGTGTGATGGACAAGGAGTCGTTGTAGAACTGCGCCAAATCGCACTAGGAATGGTACAACAGATCCAAAGGCACTGTCATGACTGCGAAGGAGAAGGATACATTGCCAAAAAGAAAAAGGAACGAAAAGTACTGGAAGTCCTCGTCGAAAAGGGAATGAAACACAACCAAAAAATCACCTTTCGGGGAATGGCAGACGAAAAACCAAACATGGAACCTGGCAACATCAACTTTATCATTCAAGAAAAGGAACACGAAACATTCAAACGGAAAGGAGCGGATCTACTCGTATCCAAGGCATTGTCCCTCAACGAAGCGCTCTGTGGATTCGCATGGATCATCAAACACCTCGATGGAAGAGAAGTCGTCATCAAGTCAAAGCCAGGTGAAGTCATCAAGGCTGAAGCTGACGGAGGAAAACCATTCGTCAAGATTGTCGCAAATGAAGGAATGCCCTCCAAAGGGAACCCATTCGTCAAGGGAAACTTGTACGTCGTCTTTAGGGTCGACTTTCCCTCGGACAATGAACTCAATGAAGAAGCCGTCAAGTCCCTCAAGACACTCCTGCCTAACCCTGCCATGGAAGTCGAGTACGATGAAGAAACCGCGGAAATCGTTCATCTTGATACAGCCGATGTCAAGAATTTCGGGAAGGGGGGTGTCCAAAGCCACGATTCGGCATACGACTCGGATGATGAAGAGGGTGGGCCACAAGGCGTCCAATGTCAACAGTCCTAGTCTGGCCGATAGGAGGTACCTCCGCCTTTTTTTGTTTTTGAATTCATTCCAGTTTTGTGGTTCTGGTTCTCCTCTCCTCTCGTTCGTTACAGTACCTTCTTGTATTGGACACTTGCCTGATTGGGAGTTACTTTGATTGACTTTTTACTGAATGAATATAACACACACACAACCATCTCGTTTTGAGATGCTGCTGCGATCGGATCGCAATCAATGCTCAACAAATAATCAACTGTGTCATGTGCAAGCGGAACAACTCAGTCACGCTCAATGCACATGGCTTTTTTTTGATAAAGCTGCCCCAAAGACGATTTTACATTCATAAGAGTAGTCTAATACGATACTATAGAATGTTTGCTCGTTGCAGGATTTTAATGTCGCGGTCGGTCATACGGTGCCATGCTTGTACAGTACAGTACCAGGACGGTCTGAACACTAAAGTCAACATGTTTTAGCGCCCCCGGCCGGTAAAAGTGTTCTTGAACACCGTTGTAGTCTACCGGTAGTACCTACCGCTAGGACAACTTAGGCTCCAGTAAATTTAAAAAAAGGACAACAATGCATGCGTCCTGCACTGTTGTTTCGAGCAAAACAAGGTTCCCAATGACGTCGTCTGCCTAATAGCAAATGATTAAATAATCCTAGCTATAGACTACTAGAATATGTCAAGGGAGTGAAGTCGAGCCCATGAAAATAGCCGTCCGTCGCCACACCAGACCGCGCCCAATACGCATACCGTACGGTAGCTACTTACGACGATGCATCATTCGAGGGATTTGCCGCTGCTTCTGTTTCCTCCTGCTTCTGGGCTGCTGCTTCCTTGTCCGAAACTGCAGCAGTTGCGAGCAGTTCCTTACTAGCATTTGGTTCCTTTCTCCACAATTCTGGCAGCCTGACAACCAATGCTGTGATATCATCTCGATAATCCCCCTCTTCATCATGCCACCTTGCTGCAGCAGCTTCAATCAGAGCCTGCGTAGCCTTGGTGGCTCCCCGTGACAGATTGGCCCCTACAATTTCAACAGCCGATTCAGAGCTGATGAATTCCCAGACCCCGTCTGTGGCAATGATGAGGAATTCATCGTCTGGATGGACTGTATGAGTCGACACCACTGGCTCAGCAATGACTCCTACTCGCGCCACAGCATGGTCCCCAATGGACCGTGCCATGGCCAATCCAATTTGCGAGAATCCTTCGTCCAACCAAACTCTAGCGGACAGACCAGGTTCCGGAGGAGGCGACACAAATCCTCCCATGCTTTCGATTCGATTCCGTTCTTCCGGCAGATCCGGGTTTTGATCAATAGTCAAGTCAATGGCACGATAGGCTGGTACCTTGCCATACGTAACAGTTGTGTTGGTGTTGTCCATTTTTCGAGCGACGACAGCCCTGGAGTCTCCCGCATTGGCAACCGTCAGTACATTGTCCCTCAAAAGAGCCACACACGCGGTGGTGCCGGCATAGAGTGGTTCAATGAGTGGTTCATGCTGGAGTGCCTCATCTACGGCAAGAAACGTGTCTTTGAATGCCTTTTCCAGGTTGTTATTGAACTCTGGTCGTTTCTCCAAGCGCGACTGTATCTCGTGCAGTGCAAATTGTGAAACCAATTCTCCGCCTTGACCATGACCTGTTGTGGTTGGGATGGATGGAATTGATGCATGAGAATTCACAAAAATTGAATTGTAAGCAGCCAATATATGAATTAAAAACAGAACAATTGAGGAGGAGAAGAAATGCTCTTTGCGTTGTTTGTTGGTACGTACCATCGTAGGCAGCAAAGAGCGCCGTTTTGGGGCAATTTCCATACGGAAATGCCACCCCACCTCGATCCTGATTGATCTTTGCAGCGGTAGTTGGTTTGGGTTCCCGTCGTGGCGGGGGCGGCGATGCTTCCAAATTGGGTTTTCCAGTATTGGGCGTGGGGAATGTTCGATTGGGTGCCATGGGGTCTTGATCTGCATCATCGGCAGCCCAGTTGTCATGTGCTCGAAGGAGTAAATCGTCCTCCACTTCTTCCTCATCTTCGTCCCCTAGATTGTGTTCATAGTCACTGTCATATACGGGTTCCACGCCATGACAAGAATATGTGCCCACGACATCCCTTGGAAATGGTAATTTTCGTTCGTCTTCATCATGCTTTCGTGTGATTCTTTTTTTCCATTTGGGCTGAGGCGATGCGGCCGAGTTTTGGGATTCTACGGCAGGATCATCAGTGGGTTCCCGCTCTTGATGAAAGTTGAGGAGTGTGGTGGATGAAGGCGGCCTTGAGAGTCGATAGAGCACATGTGGTTCATTTTTGTGGTCCATAGTACCGGTAGTACTACTGCCAGTGCTGGTAGCTGTATGTCCCACAGTGGTGGACAAGGTGGGATCGACGGCAGGTGATGGAGGAGCTCTGTTGTGGTGATGCTGTAGAATTTCTCCTGCATGCAGCGTTCGCACTTTGAGTCCATCCTGATTGTAGTTGTTCCCTCCTGTGTGCGAAGATCCCAAAGAAGCAGCCGACGCGTCTGAAGCTCTTCGTTGTCGTTTTGGAGGATCATCAGTCTTGTCGGTTCCTTCTCCATTGTTTTCTTCTTCCAGTAACAAAGCAGCAGGAGCCTTGAGAGTCAACGAGAGACGACGCTTGCGGAACGTCTGTGCTTTTTGGTCGTCCTCATTGGCATTCCTCTCACTAGACACATCCTTGATCTCCTTGTCATTCGTCGTCACCTCTGGAAGAGGAGGCTCTTGTGATTCTTCGTCATCGTCCACTGCTGCCGCCACGGCAGCGGCTGACGCCATGGCGCTTGCTCCCTCGGGAGCTAAATGATGTTTCGAGAGGCTCAATCGACGCCTTCGAAATGTATGAGACTTCTCATCGTCGCTACCAGGGCTTGTGTCCCCCATTTCACCAGTCGTCTTCATTGTCATGCCCAACAACCCGAAGGCAACCTAACTGCATCAAAATAAATTTAATCAAGGCTTTGAAGCACCTGAGTTTATTATTGCAGAGGCAATTGCTGCAGATTTTTGTGGTGGCGATGAGTGACAGTCATAGAGGTCACTTATCAGGTCATGTGCCCGCGAAATGACGACTACTGTGATATCATCAATCGAATGCTACCGGTATGATCAATCGAATGATCAATCGATCGAACCAACTCGAATAGGCGCCAATTATTTTCAAAAACTGCTGTTGGGCCAGTTGGCGGCAAAGTTGATACATGTGTTGCGCCAATGAGCTGTGCCGGCGACACCACTCACGCGAAATGGATCCATCGCTTCGATTGTCACTCTTCTCACAATTCTCATAATTTGCGCTCGGCAACAGTCTTCAAAGCAAAAAGTCTCGATCAACATCCTTTACTACCCTACCGGTACCATTCATCAAAATATTCAAAACTAACCATGGCCCGGTGAGTTCGTTGTTGACCAGTCCGTCCGAGGGAGTACCGCGAAGGCTTGTTGTTGTAGTCGATCCGCTGCTACCGGTACAGTGAACTACTGCTTCTTCTGGGTGTGTTGTGTTGTGTTGTATTGTGTTGTGTTGCTCAAACGTCGCGAGGGCTTGTCGTCGTCGTCCATGTGTCGCTCGCCGCGTACCGGTAGCAAATCCTCTTTTGCGTGTTGGAACCTAACCCCCATCCTCCTTCTCTCACTTTTACTCTTACACAGCACGAAGCAAACCGCTCGAAAGTCCACCGGAGGCAAGGCCCCCCGTCGGCAGTTGGCCACCAAGGCGGCCCGAGCTGCTGCCCCTCGGCAAGGAGGTGTCAAGAAGCCCCACCGTTACCGCCCTGGAACTGTTGCTATCCGTGAGATCCGTCGCTACCAAAAGAGCACTGACCTCCTCATCCGCAAGCTTCCCTTCCAACGTCTTGTGCGTGAGATTGCCCAAGATTACAAGTCCGATATTCGGTAAGTACAATACCTTGTTGGGTTGGTTGGAAGAGATTGCAGCCATGGCATTATCAGCGAACTCACAGCACGCCTTCTCCATTGTCTTTCTTCCAGATTCCAAGAATCGGCGCTTCTGGCTCTCCAGGAATCTGCCGAAGCCTACATGATTGGAATGTTTGAAGATGCCAATCTCTGTGCCATCCATGCCAAGCGTGTGACTATCATGCCGAAGGATATCCAGTTGGCGCGCAAAATCCGTGGAGAGCGAAGCTAGACACCTGACTTGGGAGTACCGGTACCATGTTGGGAAGACAACACCAAGGCTGTCTATTTCGATTTTGACAGCCCATACTACAATCGTACGAATTCGATGTTGGGGCGATTCTCAGGTTGGAGGCCATCACTGAGTCGAGTCGGGAAACCATTTGTGCAATGGCTACATTAGCCATTCTGTAATTTGAAATAATATTAGATCCCTCATTGAAACATCATCAGCTTTCTCTCTCTTAACTATTAGCTAGTAGCCTGTAAATGCCCCACCAACAATAACATTATAAAACTACTGAAACATTAGCCATCTCTTTGCCTTCAAATAGCTCGTTGAAATATCACCATCTGGTTTCTCTACATGCGCAGTATCAGTACCCATTGCAGCATTGCAGCAAGCTGGTGGATTCGATTCGATTTGGGCTCAAGACCAGTAAATGCACGGCTCCTTGACGCTTCCATAGCAAGAGATTGACAGAGGATTCAATTATGTAACTGTTCGTGGTGGATGCCGCAATGTTGGTGATGCAACCATCGAATTGCCACTGTGGTTCAAGACCAAAAGAGAAAGATGCTAGTCTTCTTCCGACACCACTTCAACCATTTCCACTTCATCGTCATCATCGTCCTCCTCGTCTCTCTCAAACAGACTGTCGCGAAAACACTGGGGAGGATCGGCAACAAAGAAGCGATGGTCTATGGGTTTTGGTATCTCTAACAACTTGTGTGGGTCCGTTTCGGCATTGTTTGTGTTGTTGTTTATTCGGTCCCAAGCTGGAGAGATGCACGGCAAACTGGAGGTAACGGTATCCATAGCAGATTGTGGTTTGAACTCGTCATACCCTTGATGTATTTCGTCGACCCATTTGTGAACCATCTCGTCCTCTTCATTGTCATCAGTGTCATTTTTCTTCTCTGATTGCTTCGATGCCTTGTTCTCTGGCTCTTGTACTGGACGAGGTGGGAGAGGCCCGCAGGGTCCGTAGAGTCTGATTTTCTTCATTTTCTCGGGAACTTTTCGAGTCCAAAAACCTACCAAAAAGGTCAATCGATGGTTTTTCTCACCGGTCCCAATCGAATCTTTTGTGTTGTTGTTGTGGTCAACCCCAGTCCACGCTTTCGAGATGACGTCTGAGTTGATTGACTCTTTCTTTTCGATATCGTCTGGTTCTCCCTTGTCCGCCCCAATCCCAGGACACGGCAATACTCCATGCAATAGATTGCCTGGGAATACCAGCAACGTGTTGTCTTGGGGTACACATCTCCAAACCTTGGAGGCTATCTCTTCCGAGTTGGGTGTTTGATCCAAAACAATCGTGGCACCACCACCCGCTTTGCCTCCCGTGAGATACAAAACGCTGCTGTAGATGGGATGCGTGATCTCCCCCTCCTGCAACAGCAAGGCCTCATCAGTATCAAAGTGTAGATTGTGCCCCAGGTTGGCTTGGACCGGTCGAGTGTGAACCTGTGGAGGCAGCCAACTGTTTGTGTGAATTCGAATCCAGCGAATATATCTCGAAGACATTACTTTGACTTACCCACCACTCCGCCCCACAAATTTCTTCCGATTGCTGGTTTTGCTTTTGTTGTTGTTGTTGTTGTTGTTGTCGTCGTTGCTGTTGTTGTTTTAGCACCAATGGATACAAATGATTCCAAATGACATCATCAATAACGTTCGAGACGACAAACTGATCTTGTTGTTTCGTCTCGGGCATGTCCCTAAAGTAGGAATAGTATCCACGGTGATTGTAATCGCTTTCGGTCCAATAGCCTGCCTTGGGTGCAAATACTCGACAGATTCGATCGTAGAGTTGTTGGGGAAGGACTCCTTTGTCTTTTGCTCGATACTGGACGACCACGGAAGAATCATTGTTGTTAGTGTTTGCATTCGGCTGCCACACATTGGGATGGATGCGATGGGTGATGGGAAACTTTTCGAGTTGTTTGAGTGCTTGCTTCTGTTTTCCCACTGTGGAGAGGAGCATGGCGGCCATGAATCGGGAGGTAGCTTCGACGGCTGAACTTGAAAAGTATCCGTTGTCATCTTCCTCATCTTTCTCGGTCAAGTCTTCTTCGTTGTTTTCCTTCTTGCCATGATCATGATCATCGTCCTCCTCTTCTTCGTCTCCGACATAATCAATGGCACAGACTTGATTCAATAGCAACAGCTCGATCCATTCCTTGGTTAGTTTGTTGTTGTCCGTGTCGTCCTGCTGTAAGAAGGGTAGAGCCACCTGCTGTACTTGAAGGGCACATTCAGCTGCATTTTGGTACCATGTACAAATGGCAGACGGCCGTAGTACTTGTAGCATGCGCCCAAAATTGGCTGCCATGGACCACATGGCGGCGTTTTGAGGGTACCAATGGATTGATTTCTCGATCAACTGCTGACATTGGGTGATGAGTGTCTGTTTGTCCTTGTTGTTGTTGTTGTTGTTGCTTTTGTCGCTTTTGTCTGCTTCTTGAAACTCGAGACATTCGGCAATGGCCGAATCGGCCAAATGGTAGTATACCACACTGATCAACACGGGAAGGAGGGATTCGATCGTGAGAGACTTGTTCTGGACAAGTTGGTCGAGTGATGCCAACGGTTGGATCTGTTTGTTCATGTAAGGTTTGAGGATCTCATTCAGCAATTCTTCGAGTTCATCCAAATCTCCTCCTTCCGCACCCATCATGCCTTGTGTGGCTTCCACAGAATCGACAAAGTTTCGATAATGTTCCCACGCGGATTGCGCCACGGCGGACAGATCACCTTTCTCATTGCCATTCTTCTCCTTCTCCTTGTCATCTGAACAAAGCTTGGCTCGTTTCGAAGCTGGAGAATCACTCATGATGGCTACTAGCTAGTACCAGGTATGCTGTCTTAACGCTGTCCACTATCTCACACCAACCAACCGACTTGAAACTAAGTCAATACTGGCTAGTACTGTGAAATGCAAATGAATGTTGGAGACAAAGCAAGAAAAATGAGCTACCGATCGACTTCCAAAGATACTCTTGCTAGTATCTTGACAGAGTTCGCTTCGCATCGTCGCATTGGTGGCCAGCAGCTCTCGCAGCAATAAAGCTGTACTACTGGCTCACACCACATGCACCGGTACCGGTTCCGGTACTGGCTAGTACCATACCTGGTACCTGGTACCCTTTCATCACCAACACACACTGGGGGAGATTATCTACACAACATGGTTTCGCGAGAGCATGATGTATTTGCTTCAAAACATCAGCATACGGTACCGTACCGCACGTAATAATGAGGGTGCGTTGGATACAATATTCCCCTCAATTGATGTTGCATTGTTTATCGTCTCTCTACTAGCCAGCTACGGTACCGGTACCGGTAGCTCTCTGAAGTGATGTACATTTGGTAATTGTAGAAGCAACCGTACCGGCATGGTGGTTACTGAGGTCCCAGATCAGGCCACAGGAACCGAGTTTGGTGTGCGAACTTGCGGTTGAAACTACAGTAGCTACCGGGTAGCAGAAGACACGACGAGTCACAGGGGAGCGTCAGCTGAGGACAAAAAGCTATCGTAAAGGAACATGTAAAACTCCGTCTTCTTAGCTGGCTACCGTACGGTAGGATGTAGATGCAGGAGCTGCAACCGTTTTGAGCAGGGTCTTGCTACTAGTAATCCATTATCAAGCAATTTCTGCAGCCAAGGCTCAACTCACACAAACATATGGTGTGTTACCGTTACCCAAAAGAATCAATCTATGAAACTCGCACGCCCAACGCTCTACGTCACCGACAGTCGTCGTTTGCGAGTGGCAGTACCTGTGTGATCCTTTCCAGGAAGAGTCTTTTCGGGTGCCTTGTATACCAGCACAACATTATCCCCGCGCACCATGATTTGCCTCATTCGTCGTTTCCGTGACGTCCACAGCGACTTGTCGTCGTTCTGTGGTTCTTGTGTCACTCCATATCTCGTGGATGTATCCCGAGGCTGATAAACTTCTTCTACATTGGTGAGTATCATGTTGAAATGTCTGTCAAAAGCCAACAAGCGGCCTGTGAGTGTTCCTCGAATGCCATTGACGTATCGAATCAAAACACAGGCACGTTGTCGTTGTTCCCAGATTCGATACATGACGGAAAAAGGACCATAATTGAGGTCCTTGGCAATGTCAGCAAAAGGATGATTATCAGTCTTCTTGGTCTCCTTCTTAGCCTTTGGAGTTCTTCGTCTAAGTGGTTTATAAAGTGGATCGTCTTTGGGGAGAATGTGTTGAACTTGGCCAGTGTGAGCCAAAAAGGGAGTCTGGGCGACCCATGGATTCTCTTGCGCCACTTGATCCCTGGGCGCTTCAAGGGCTGCCTGGGGATCAAATTGATCACTCGTCATGGAAATCACTCCACTTCCTTGTTCTTCTGGGCGAAGCGCAAACCAGGATTCCTCTCGTTGATGTCCTCGTGGAACTGTCGGTGGACTGTCTTCCTTTTTCTTGACAAGCACGGATTCCGCCCGCAGCAATCTCACGTGAAAACCTCCATACTTCTTGACCAACTTGGCCGCCAAAGTTCGTTCCCCCGCATACGTGCCTCCATACTTCTCGTAGATCTGGTCGAACTTGGAACGCCATTTCACCGCATCTTCCGTGGCACTTGGATTCACAAGGCTGTAGTAGTCTTCAAGACGGCGTCGTAAGGATGGTTTGCCAAGGCTAATGGGAATTGTCATTAGACGAGGGTTCTGGTGGCTCTTGTTGTCCGTCATGGCCTGATGCTTGCTGCTTATAATATTTCTTCGTCGGCTTCTTTGACCATGGTCGCTTCGTGTCCTCAATTACAGATCTTTGGTTTGAATCCCTAACACATGGGACTTGAATCCACGACACGGTCCCAAAGTCTCGTGACCTGCCGTGGCTTTTTAGAAGGCGAAATCGAAATCAGAGCAGGGTCCTCCGATGCGGAGGTGAAACGAAACAACATGTGGTGGCGCCAAGATTTGACTCGACTCGACTCGAGCGTTGTTTCTTTGCAAAAGATGGCGGACTTGGGACTGGGCCATGTTGGTTTTTTCGGACGGTGGATGGCTACCGTACGGTATCGGTACGGTACCTATCAACCGAATGATGGAATCTAGAAATTCCGCGGCATTTCTTCCTCTGCGAAGGATGGCAACGGCAATCATGTAAGATTGAAACAACGGTATCTGCAAATGGATGAGAGTACGTACGGTACCGGTACCGTATGGCCAACGCTAGTACCGGTTTTACGGTACTAGTAACTTAGAATCGAATTCAATCATTTTTACGAGACTACTGTACAGTATTATTAATAAAATAGAACGATTCGATTCCAAGCGCTGATCTCCGACCGTACAAGTCTACTGTATGGGTATAGATTTTGAATGAATCATTCAATCGAATGATTCAATCCCCTGGGTCTACGACAGATCACGGTCCAAAAGTCCCTCCAACCTGCCAAGCATCCGAGCATGGGAAGGGATCCTCCTTGGGGCGCAGTTGGAACGAAACAATGCCGCGCCGAGCTCTCTCGCCATGACTCGACTCGTCACTCTACGCACAGCAATGTAGTTTACATGCAGACTCACATTTGATCCATGTCATCGACAGCGTGGAAGCCGAGGGCTGGGAGTACAGGAAGACACTCCCAGCTCCTCTGTTTGGGAGAATCTTCTTCAGAACCCTTATGATAGCTAGAACGGCGGGAACGCTCGGGCGACAGACCAAGGTGGGTACCGGTACCGGTACCGGTACCGGTACGTCGCTCGATCCCAACGCGGGGAAAACTTTCTCCCAATCGGTTGTGTACCAAAGTCGCTCTTAGGCTTTTAAAAAGAACCAAGAAAATTGGAGAATTGGAGGGAGCCCAGGTGGAGTTGGAACGAGAAGATGTCATTGGCATTTTTGACTAGCGAAACAATTCGCTGCAACGTTCTCTTGGATGCTACTACGAACAAAAACTCAGCACAAATCGCATCAACAAAGGTGACATAAATCGCATTGAAAGCATCCTTGCAAAGCAATCTCAACACAACTTTCTTTAGTCTTCCACCATGCCCGTCACCTGGAATCTTCCGCAACCAAACAAGGTCCACAAACTCATCGTGTCTCCTGGAAAGGTCCCGGAGATTCTCGCTCCATTGAAAAACAACAAATTCGCCCATAAGAAGTGCAAACTCGTCCTTCACCCTGAGCAACGTTCGCTTGACCATCGGCTCGGGAGGTGCGGCCCCAGCCACTTCAAGGAGTCTCTTCACAAGGATGCTGCTGTGAACAAGACCCCACGCAGAAGCTTCAACAGCACAGCATGCAGACGCTCCAAGTGGGCTACTCCGGAGGATTATTTCTCTTGGCAGGCTCTTCAGAGGAGGGTTGCCCCGAAGACGCCCACACGCAACGAACCGACCCCACGCAATCGCTCCAATACCCCATACCGACCCTCCAACCAGGCTATGCAGGAGGATGTTTCTTTGGAGACGGCCACACTCGGGCACACCAAGCAGGATGTTGGTTTGAAGGTTACTTCGAAGACAGCCACACGCAAGAAAAAGTCGGTTTCTGTCAAAGTGTCACCAGTCAGCTCAAGTGTGGGCAAAAGGGCCAAGTTCAATTCTCACGGGCGTTCTTCGACTCCCCACAAGAAGGCCAGCCGCAGGGTCGCCACGGCTTCCAGACCGGAGTCAAATGCCACTCCTACTCCTCCAGCTATCCGTCGCACACACTCAATAGACCTTCCGCCTCCCTTCAAGGCCTCCCACTCAAACTTCCACACCCACACCCATACACACACCCACACCCACACCGACAACCACAACCACACACACACACACATCCACACACACAACCACACACACAACCACATCCACACCTACACAATCTCCGCACCCACATTGTGTTGGGGCTCCATTGGTGCCATGTTGTGGTTTGGAAGCTGCTGGGCCCTTCGCCGCTGAACAATGTTGTTGTTTTGGAGCTGCTGGCCCTTCACACGCACCCACCGCCACCCAACCCACCGAGTCGAGTCGCCAGGTTGTTTTGGAGCTGCTGGACCCTCAGCCGCTGAACAACCTGGCACCCCTCCCCCCCTGTCATTTTGGAGCTGCCTTGCATTTGGCCGCTGAATGATACCTGCTCTACCCACCACCACCACACTACCACCACCACCACACTACACACCAATGCCATGTTGTTTTTGGAGCTGTTGCGGCAGTTCAACAACTGGGCATCCACAACCCACCCCCACCAATTATTCCCCCATCATTTTGGAGTTTCCTTTGCACCTGAAACTGAATGATCCCCACTGAAGCTGAATCAGATCTACCCATCCACAGACGCAACAACAGGCTTCGTTGAGGAAAAGGCCTTTCATGGGCGAGGAGCTACACTTTCGGGCGGGAGAATCGATGGCTGCTGAAAGGTTAGGACATGCGTGAAGGATAGCCTGATCACACCCCTATGATACCTGGATGCATTAGTCAGAGATCACTGCTGTTTGGAAGGAAAGGGATTGTCTGACAAACCGCTGTGCAGTCATTATCTGCACGCAACTGTTCAATAGACAGACCCAGTAGTACTTGTTTGAGGAAGGATACTTACCCAGTGAACGTGTCTTGTTGCTGAATGGAAAGGGGTAGAGAGTTTCTGCGCAGATTGGCGCTTCTTCGTTCAAGTCCTGGAAACTGAATGACAACTCTACACCAACCCAACCAAAAATATAATGTATATGTATACCAATGTCCTTATTTGCCTCTATAGACCATGGTATCTTTAGTCTGTGCTCTAGCTAGATTGATACTAGTAGGGTTATCAGTGATTGGGATCTCAGTTCTTCTTTCGCCGCCTGGCAATGGCTTCTTCTGCCCGTTGTTGAAGTAGCTTCATTTTCTCGGCTTTCCTCCTTGCCTCCTCTTCCTCTTCCTTGGCATCCACCATGCCAGCATTTTCCCTATCAGCTTCATCTGTTGCCTGTTTCTTCTTATGTCTACGTCTGGCAAGGGCTTCTTCTGCCCGTTTCTGGAGCATCTGCATTTTTTCTGCCTTCCTTTTTTCTTCAGCTTCCACTTCCACCTCAGTGGCAGTGGTTTTGTCTTTGGCTTCTTCCACGGTTGTGGCAACTGGGCCATTTGGTTTGTCCTTAGGAATCTTTTTGTTGGCCAGAGACGTGGATGTCATTTGCTGCAGAAACTCACTTGCAGAAATATCCGAAAACTCCATCTCTGCATATCCTTGCTCCAAAATGTTGTCCCCTGTCAAAAAGGCTTGATCTCGATCCGTGAACATATTCTTTCTCTCCGCAAGTCTTCGTGACGGGATGCTCCGAAGCATTCCAATGGTAAATGTCCCTCCTACAATGACCTCAAGTCCATCCAACAAATCCATGGGAGGAGGAGCCACCATGCCACTGCTACCGGGCACATCAAGGTTGTTCTTGTTGACCATAGCTCGTGGTATCTGCAAGTCTTTGGATTTCATTTGTTTCAAAACAGAGTCGGGACGTCGAATCAATGCCAATGCCACAGTGCAGAGGTTTCCTGTCCCTTGTGATTCAGCCACCGACGTGAGTGTACCAGCTGGTATTTCTTCATTGCTACCCAAGACAAAAAGGTTATCCCCGTTCCGTGGTGGTCTACTGAGGTTGTCACTACCATTTCCATCTTCTTGGTCGTTTTCTTCATCTTGGAAAACAACTGCGTAGAGACTTCGAGGAGGCCCCCTTGGATTTTTGAGAATGGAAGCAATTCCTTCTTGCCCCAAGTAGCACCCCTTTTCCAAATCAATGATATCCCGTTGATGTTGTTGCACGTGGAGTTCCAGGGGCGACGGAGACGTAATTAGTGGTTCCTTTTCGGCTCCAGTCATTTCGTATCCAAAGGCAGGTTGTCCCGCTTCAATTCGCAAGGTTTGGTATTCCAAAGCTTTGATTTCTACGGGTCCTTTTGGGTTGTCGTCGCTGATCAAGTATTCCCAGATTTGGTTGCCGATATCATTGTCATTGTCGTTGTTTTCATGGTTTAGGAAGAAGAACGTGTATCCCACCATGGCACAATCGGGCAATCCAGTGTATGGCAAAATAAGCAAGGTTGGCAATGTCTCCACTGCACCGCTTGCAGTGAAATGAATCATCAAGGATTCCTTTTCGTTTGGAAGGTGAAAAGACGACATGGAATCCGCAGTCGCAGGCAGCAATTCCTGTAGTTTGGGTATGATTTGTTTCTGGAAGACATTTTGGACATGATCCAGTTGTGTGGATGCCAAGACAAACATGCATTTGTTTTCGGACGTCAAGTCTGTGAGCTTGACTCGATCCAACGGAAAGATGAAGGGGTCCAATTTTTGAAACAAACTGGCTGCAGAGTGTCCTGGAGAGGGCATGATAAAGGCTTCCGTGTTGGAGTACGCCACGGCCAAGATGTCCACGAGTCTCCCCTTGGAATTGAGCAGACATGATTTTTGAAACTGGAGACTGTTTGCCGAAGCATTTTCTTTGAGGGGAGTAAAGGAACTTGATAGTTTGTTATTGAGAAAGTCCAAGACTCCTTTTCCTTGCAATCTCAGGATACCCGACTCTAATAATGGCTGCTGGTCTTTTGCTTGTTTTGACGAGAGTAATTTCCAGGCCACACACTGCGAGCTGCACAAAGCCGCTCGTACCGCTTCTCCCCGCATTCCCGCAGGTGTCCCTTCTGGGTAAGCAGAAGGCATGCTACCCAGCAGCCAGAAGTCATTCCTACCGGTACCGGTATAATAATTGGAAGTAGTGCGCCCCTTAAAGGGTGTTGTTTCTTTTTGGAAGACACCGAGTTTTGCTCTGGCCACCGAAGGAGTTCCATGGCCAACAGGGAGGAACGCAGCGGCGAATGGTGCGTGTAGCTGTAGCACCATTGGTAGTAGCAGAGCACTGAAGATCAGGAAGCCATGTTGCCTCCGACCACAGCTGGCTATATCAACAAGACTGTGACTCATTCTCCTCGCTTTGGATGAAATCTTCACTACTAGAATGGATACAAGAAGTCCAAGCAAAACATACATGTAATCGAACATCAATAATGCAGAAAAGATCTGGAGATCGTGGGAAGTGGAGAAGTGGAAGGGAGAAAGATCGAGGAGCGCTGACGTCAGTCTGAAACTGCTGTGCCGCCTTATTAGTATTAACCTTTTTCTTTCCTAAGGTACTGCACTACTAGCTAGCTAGTAGTCTACTACCAGTCCTGGTAGCTAGACTTCCACTTCAGCACATCCAATGATGGTGTTCAGTTGTTTAGTATCTTTGCAGAGTACCAATTGGGAGGATAGTGCTGTGGAAGTGTACCGTCGTTTGAATTCGACGTATTGTTGTGCTTGAAGTGTTTTATTTTGTGATTCGATTCGATTCGATTCGATTCGATTCAGTGAGTTGTTGTGCGCCACCTCCCACTTTGCCCCTCCAAAAGGAATCGAATCGACGAATAGATCTGTCACCAATCGTAGTTCATCTTGACCTCGTTGCTTGGGATTCCAGGGTTCGACTGTATACTGTATATCAAACTAGTCCTAGCTATGTAGTACCAATGCGGGTCAAGAGGCCAAAGGATGACACAGATGGGAGAAAACCAGCAGAGTGCTGATAATGATACCAGTATTCGTTGTGGATGCAACAAACATAGATCATTGCAATGGTTTGTTATCTGTCTGAAATGATATTTTGATACTCAATCCATGACATGAGAAATAAAATTAATGAGGTCGGCTGCAGGACAGCTGCAGACTGCATCAAGGGGATGAGCAAACTTGCTTATGGGGCTACATTGCATTGGTTTCGTATGGTCAAAGTTACCGGTATATTGAAATAATGGAGCAATTGACTTAATATCAACCCAAAATGTCAGTTAAAAATAATTAATTCGCATTTTGGCTGTAAAATGAGTAAAATTGGATTGGATTGGTTTGAATTGGATTGGATTAGATTCAATTGGATCCATGAAAGTACTGTTATTTGTATAGTAAATACCAATTCAATGCAATGCAATCCAATTCAATGCAATCCAATGCAATCCAATGGAACATAACCTGCCAAAGTAAACAATTGGATACTTTTCGCACAAACTGTACTGCAACGTACTACAGTTGTATGTGGAATTCACAACTAAACTATCATTTCTACGGTATCTTATCGAGTACACTACAGCACTACAGCAGCATTTGCCCATCCCCCAATACGGCAGGCCAACGATTTTGTCACAAGGCCGCATTGCGTCAGTGTGCTGGCTGAGTCACTAACTGAGTCAGCTCGTGAATAAGAAGATACTAAACTGAGACATTGTCGCCCCACCGGATCGGCAACACTCGCCTTTGCCCACCATACCGGTACCATGACACCCACTCAATCACTCAATCAGTCAACCGCTCAGGTTGATCACCTCCAGCCACACACAAAAAGCTGCCTCATCATCAGACAAAAAAGATTCGATTCACATCTTCTAAAGGCTGCGTTTTAAACAAGCGCTGCTGCTGGCTGGCTGATTCAGTTTGCTTACTTCAGTATCCACTGGCGTCGAGAACTCTCCTTTGGTCCCATTCATTTAGAAACCATCCAATTCCACTTTTTCTGCCGTGCGTGTACCGCCCATGCTCAAGACTAAATGTATAATAGCTCAAGGCTACTGAAGCGACATCAAGATTTTAAAAAAAATGCCCTGGTTCAAATGCTCTCGTGTCTTCCTTGGAACAAGCTTGTTCTTATTCAGCGGCATTACATGTACATGTAGTAGTTTCGGGTTCCCTCTGCCACGTGCCACAGTAGTCGCCGCCAAAACACCTCTTGCAAGTCTTTTCGCATCATACCAGAACGACAATGAAACTACTACATGTACCGAACCACAATCTACGACTACTACTACTACTACTACTACTACCAATCGAAGACACTTTTTCCAACAAGTCACGACCATGGCTACTTCTTTCATTGCTGGAAAATCCATAGTATCCTCATCAGCAGTGGCAGTGGCTGCTGCCTCTCCCTCCTTTTTGGTCCCCACACCCGCATTTTCCTCGGACCAGTATTGGCCATTGGGAAAAATTGCATTTTCATTACTACCACTGGCAGGAGGAACTAGACGAGCTACTGTCGAACAATGCATTGTACCAAATACCATGTGGACGTTTGATCAGATTCAGGGAATTGTCAATGTCAATGTGCCCGTTCGATCCACGGTCATTGCCTTGCAACAAGGAGGACTCTGGATTCACAATCCCGTAGCGCCTACGCAAGAATTCCTGACACGGATACAAGAATTGCAACAACAGTACGGACCGGTCAAACACATTGTACTGGGAACGGTCGCATTGGAACACAAGGCCACTCTGGGTGCCTTTGCACGCAACTTTCCAGAAGCAATTGTGTGGGTTCAACCGGGACAGTGGTCTTTTCCTCTTCCGTTTCCACTTGAATTGCTAGGAGTCTCACAACGCAAAAACAAAGGAACACTGCGAGAACTAGTACCACAAGAGCAATACACAACAAATCCACCGGAATGGATCAACGAGATCGACTACGAAATACTGGGACCACTCAAATTCCAATCTGTTGGAGCATTTTCCGAAACTGCATTCTTCCACAAGCCTACCCAATCACTACTCGTCACTGATGTCGTCATTAGTGTCACTGAAGAACCGCCCGCCATCATCCAAGAAGATCCACGAGCATTGTTGTTCCATTCCAGAGATTCCGCAGGAGACGACACTCTACTACAGACGGGAGATACCCCCCAATTGAGACGCAAGGGATGGCGTCGCATGGTACAATTCGGGCTCATTTTCTTTCCTTCACAAATCAACGTCCCTTCGCTGCGTCAAGACATTCGGGATGAACAAATTGTACCACCGCCACTGCGCAATCTGGGACAAGCAGCTGTGCCATTCAATTTGTATCCCTGGACGTGGAATGACGACAACGATGTTGACAATTTTCGAGCCATTAGCAACAACGGTGCCATGTTCTGCCCTCCGATTCTTACCAAACTAATTCTGGATCGAGAACCACAACGGACACTGGCATGGGTCGATCGAGTCTGTGAACGATTTCGAGACATGAAACGCGTTGTCCCGTGTCATTTGAACAATGACATACAAGTCACATCCGCCAAGGAATTCTCACAAGCATTTAACAGTCTGCGGTGTAGCAGCAGTACAACAATAACCGGACGAGGTCCACTTCGAGAGGATTTACGGTTGCTACAGAATGCATCGGATCTTCTCACACAACTGCAAGTTGTAGCTCCCACGCAAGTAGAGTGCCGGCAATAATAGCTATGGTACAGGCACATACCGGTAGATGGCAAGGTATTGTACAGGTACTTGTAGAAACGTCCCTGCTTTAGCTAGGTAGCGATGCTCGACTACTACAGGAGTTCCAAAGACATATCCATTATTTGGTAACATTGAGATGAGTGCAGAGGTGTTGTGAATGTTGTGATGGCTCCTCTCGGTCGCTCGATTGGATCATTCTGGCACTGCAGTAACACTGGCTTGAGTAGTCACGGATCATTCATGACCCATTGAAATGCTTCGCGACCGCGATATGAGAATTGAGAACCGTCGCAGCAACAGAACAGTCAATGGAGATAGATGAGCATGGCTTCCGCTGGTGGCATTACTTATAGCAGCAGTAGCAGTGCTGGTACCGATTCTGCTGAGGCTGATGATGGTTGGCGTAGTTCGTGGAGTGCCTGTCATTACAAGACCTGTTTGAGCCGAAGCTCTCTGGTTGCTTGCCCCGAGCAAGTTCAGGAATTCACCATCAACAGCATCAACAACCAGGGCAATGACAAATCAAAGATTTTATGGTCGATGCCCCAACAGGGCGAAGTGACAATCTGGACTTACGCTTCGCCTTCAAGAGAACATGATAGTGGTGAGTCCATGGAGAGACACAATGCCATGATGGAGTCTCTGGTTGCCAATCATCTAGTATCACTAGAGACAGAACAGGAGGATGCTGTAAAAGACAAGACTTCTTTCGACACACCAACATCACCAATGAAGCAGCAAGATTCCAGTGGTGGAGTCATGCAGTATGTGACGTCGGCGTTGAGTCCAATTGCGGGTTTGTTTTCTCCCAGTCGTCCCACGATGTCTTCATTTTACGACGAAGAGGACGATGCCTTGAAGGATTGGTCTGACTTTGCCAAGGCATTGGAAGAGGAAGAAGACGATGCCAGGCAACCTCCAAAAATCGACAATACTGGTACTACCAGTACAGTTGCGTGGCAAGATCCAATATTGAACATACCCCTGACAGTAGAGTGTTTCCTCTGTTTGCAAGAGGCTGTGGAACAATCACTCCAAGCAGAGCCGACCAGGGATCAGGGATTTCCGCTGATGCTTGCACGTTGGCGCTCGGCGACAAACACTACCACTGAACATTCCGAGACACCCACATGCTGGATGGATTGGGTTCAAGCCGTGGGGAACCTCAACAATCGACATCCACCACACACTCTATTAACGCGTCTTTCCGAGACTCAAATCGATTTCCTCCTTGATTGTCTTGTCAGTACAGGAAAAATCACACTAATCCACCATGACGACGAAGAATTAGTGGCCTTCATGCCCAAACAACAACAACAGCAGCAAATGTACCTTGAATTCCTAGCTTCCTGGTACAAAATCTCTCGCGCTGTGCAAGGTGTGGAACACCAACGGGAACAATGGGCCCAGAAATCTCAACAATGGGCTCGTCGTGCGCTAGAAGAACGCCAGTCATCAAGCAGCCAACAAGCTGGATTGGTGTCATTTAAATTACACAAGCAGTACCAGAAGCACCTGGAAGAGACCGAGGGCACCTTGTTGAGTTTAGAACAGGCTCAACATGCCATGGAAACATCCTGGCATCAACAACAGCTCGTGGATGCTTTGAAGACATCCAATCTGACTCTGCAGCAGCAACAACAGCAACAAATGGGGGAGCAAGTAGGCAATGTCATGGAAACCTATCGCAATGAATTGGAATTGCTCGGAACCATGCAGACTTCCTGGGCGTCTTCCGTCCACCCTAGTACCGAATTGGATGAAGAGGACTTGATGGCTGAGCTGGTGGGGTTGTCCCTCCCCCATGACGGCCAAGGCACGCTATTTCAACAAGGGAATCCCAACAAACAGGGACTGCTCTCATCAACAAGTACTCCCATGAACTCTTCCATTTGTGTACACCCACTGGGAACAACCAAGGAGAACATCCTGGTGGCATCCAAGGGAGAGGAAAGAAGGGCAAAGCAGGCACTGGTGGCAGACTGATTAACTACTAGGTTCAACTATTGTATGGGTGGTCAGTTTGTGAAAGACTGTTTCCTACTGGTGCTAGCTTAACTTATGATACAGTAGATCTTTGGGAGCACAAGCTAGAAGAATACTAAATGTTGATAATTTCTATCTATCGTTTCTTTTCTTTTCTTTTCTTTTCTTTGGAGTGGATTCCTCAATGCTTGCATCCAACACTTCCAGCTTCTGAGGACTGTTGTCATTTCCACCCAACACAGCTGTCTTGGTGTAGAGGGAGCAGTACATCGTATTCATCTGGGTCATCACAGCATGGTGAAGATATGCAGTGGATTTGAAGTGGATTAAATATCAAACCATCAAACTGCCTCAATGAAATGCAAATTCCATGTGACGGAAAACAACAATAGTTCAAAACTGTGCCATATCATCCTTGGGATCCTTGGAAAGAACCGTATTGAAGGACAGAAATGCATCCTCATGAGCGTGGCCATTCAGAACATTCAACACGGGAGCTACTACTAACTAGTAGTAGCTGTCTAGTCTACCGGTACTAGTCTTTGCTGTCGTAGATAGATTACTCTGGAATTACACTAGCAGAGGACTAAGTGATGCCAGCTTGAAGGTAGTGGGGGAATGGATCAAGGGGCGCATTGAAGTGGCGGGGGTGGAAGAGGCCAGCCAGTGGGTCTGCAGGGGTAGTTCCAGATGAGTAGCGTGTGGAGGAAGCAGTGGCAATGGATCTAAGGATGTGGTGCCCAAGGTGAGTGGACAGGTTGAGTGCCAGTGAATGATGAGCCCACCTGGATGGGGAGAGTGGGGTGAGTGTGGTATCCAGATTGGGGGGAGGGGTGTAGTGCTTGTCTGCCAGTGGAAGGAGACCAACAGGAGCAGATTGTAGTTGGATAGGTAGTGGAGCTATGGGGTGGTGGGTTGTTGATCCAAGTTTCTGTGGGTGGGGGGAATGGGAGATCTTTGGTGTCCTACTACAGCTGTACCAGCACCGCGACTGCATCATTTTATCCCCAACCCGACAACTTGGGAAGGTCCAGTCCCGCAGCACCGGTACCGCCGCAGATTCATGGTTTGGATCTGTGAGGAGTCATGGATACTGGTGCATCCTACACTATTGTTAGAAGTGAAACGAAGCTCGCTTTTCGGTTCCCTGTCGCATAATTGAAATGTGTCGAGCACCTCCGCTTCGTAAGACCAGTACTATTCCTTCATCCGATCTACGTCAAACGTCCTCGGCAGGCTCTTTATAACGGACGTTTAACCCACCTTTTTGGTTTGCGTGACACAACTTCCAGCACTCTCAACGGAAGTGGGGAGCAACAGGTCAGATGTACTGAAAGGGGCAAAAGGTTTTAGGTTTGAACGCGTGTTCTTCTGCAACAACTGTTAAATGATGGCTTCCCAAGATCTCTTTCATGCGAAAGAATGAAGGGGATGTGAATGTGTGCATTATCTCTTTAGGTTTTCCACGAATGCTATCGTCATCTTCATGCTCATTTCACTGTTTAAGCCTGGTCTAAACCCAGTAGCCATTGACTCGATGGCATCAAGGTTTTACTGGGGTGTCTTTTCCACAGTCGCACTTACCAATTCCTCCGTACTCATTTCGCTTGGGTGGCATTCTTGTAACGGCAGTTTTCTCCTCACCCAAGGCGAAACATTTTTTGGCCGGGCTCTCAGGAGGCTGCTTCACAGGCACTCAAACCGAAAGGGCTGGACCACGCTGTTGTGCCTTTGACTATCCTTGGTGCCCTTGATCTTCATCGCCAACAACGACTGGTGGTATGATCCTTCTAGACTCGACTCCATCTTTTTGTTGCTAGGAGAGTTGCTATTGTAGACAATCTGTCTCTGCGCATGTATGGAGGTGTAGGCAGGAGCAGTTGGTACAGGTTTCATCTCATCTCATCTCATCTCAGCTCATCAGTTGTGATCTCATACTAGTAGTTGAGATTGTGGCTGGGCTGTCACGTGACCAACGCATCGGCCACAATGCCCAAGCGACCGCTGTTTCAGGGTTCCTCGACAGACGCTTCAGCCGCTGCTGCAACTGATCAGGCGGCTGTAGTCAAGTTGGAAAATGCGACAGCGCAAGGTGTAGCGGATCCAGGCATCAATGATGTCATTAGTGGCAGAGGGGATACCATCAACAGGTAAGATGAATGAACGGCCGATGATTACTAGCTAGTAGTGCTGCCAGCCCTAACTTACTCCTTTCGTCTCGCCATCCTCTTCACGTCATGTTCAGACACCCTGGGTCAGTCTACTATAGTACTCGGTTTGCTCTGTCAAACCGGTGTCCACTCACTGCCTGAGTGCCTGCCTTGCATGCCTGTACGCCCTGTCAGCTCGCTCATCTTCCCCCTTGCCTCATTCATCTCTTTCAAAATCCTACTAGGAATGTCCATTTCCGCAAACTTGTCGAGGAAAAGCGACGGGTGTACCTTAGTTCGCACTTCAAACGCGAGAAGCGGCTGATTGCTGAAACCATCGTAGCTGCCATCAAATCACTGGATCCTCCTGGGAGATTCCTTTCCAAGGATACCAAGACGGGTCTATGGTTCCCCATCGACGAAGACAGAGCACGAGAGAAAGCATCACAAGCTCTCCGGGAAAACTCCAAGAAAATCAAGGCTGAACTACTCCAAACCGATGATTCCATTCGCAAAATGTCAAATCACACAAACTACAACGCTGCTGGGGTCGCCACCGGACAACACAGCAGCACAGGTTATCCTCCTAGTAGCCCAGGAAAGAATGGAACAGCCTACGATCCGCATCAGCATCACTATCCATACCCACCACCGGGACCAGGATGGGGATACCCGTATTACTACGGATATCAAATGCCTCCCATGCCGCCAGGGTACCATCCACACGCATATCCCCCGCCACCTGTTCCAACGGGACCACCCCCTTTCTACCCATATGGACCACCCCAACCTGCTGGAGGAACCGCTGCAGCCACTTCCTCTACCTTCCCAGGCGAACCAGCACAGGAATCCAATACTAGCAACATCATCCAATCCAAAAGCACCGAACCAACCGACCTAGACGACACACGGTTTAGCAGACTTCCCTTTCAACCCATGCCAGAGCAGCGCCTTCGACAAACCCAACAGCAGCGACAAACGCAAAATGAAACACATGCCATGGACGAAGACTCGAAACGTCAAGACTACGGGTCCAGTCTCAAGTGCCGCAAAATAGAATCATTCAATGAGGAACCTCGGGAACGGCAAGTCATCAAGAATACATCTACTACGTGGGGAGGCATCGTCAGTGCACCCCATACACCGACGAAGACCACCGCCAACTTCCCAGACCCCCCTTCTCCCCATCCTCAGAATCAAGCTGCATATATGCGGTCGCCGGAGAACTATGGTGGCCCTCGTCGGATGGCTGCTCATCCTGGGTACGGGGCTCACCATCAACAGACTTTGACAGTAAACACTGCAAGTCCTCCCCTGGATGGGCCTCCTCACCAACATCATCATTACCATCCTCCCGAGGCTACTAGAACTCCAATTGGAGCCAAGACACCGGTAGCAGCCATTCAAGACATTGTCTTTCACGCTTCGCAAGGATTAGGAGCGGGACTGCACCACCCCTTGTCTGCCACACCATCGTTTTCTCGGTCTCCTTTGCCAGCCAACTCCCCGGAGGCAGCAGCGGGAGACCAATCAGTGCCATTCTCTCCTATTCGTGCCCAGCAACAGCTTCTAGAGAATCAGAATCACCCAGCCAAGCTACCAAACGACTTTAGCTTCCCTACGATGACTGCGCACTCACCACGGCGATTTCATCGCCATGCCTTGGCGCAACGATCCAACTATTTCGTTTAGAACGATCTAGTTGAGTATCTAGTTGCTTGAGTACAACTACACAAGGTGCTGGGAGGTACCTTACCAATGGGCAGGCTGCAGCTACAGTAGCCTGGGATTAAGAGTGCGAGCAGCTCTTACAATAGATAGTAAACGCTTCAAACAGAAATAGATTTTGCCAAGCCTACTTGAAAATTTGCACAAGGATAGACATGCAGCGTTCACCTATTTTTGTTTTTGACTATCTAGCTCAGGTACTATCTCTGCCCTGTGGTCCCTGTCCCTTCATCAGCAACGTCAATCAATCTCTTGGGAAATGCAGTGCAGGAGTGGACATGAGCTACACGGTGGATCCAGCTGTTGGTTGCCAATGGCTACTGACATGCCTCCCAGTAGCTGGCTCTCTAGCTAGACAGTCGAGTCTAGCCAGCTACTACTACTAGTACAGTAGTAGTGTTGCCAGGTACGACTGCATGTAGATACATATTGGTGCTACCGGTACAACTACCAGTACCGGTACTAGTAGTACATGTAGCATGCCGGATAACTGCTCATTGTTTCTGGACACTTATGCTTAGTTTTCCAGCTAGAAAGCCTTTTTCATATACCCTCAATCTTGTTAACGGTCCAATTTAACGGTCATTTCTTGGTCTGTACAAAACCGAACACAAATATACCCACGGTTCACCAGACGAACTTACCAAGACCGGGACGGCTCTCACCACCCCCCATTTTCAGGAAAGGAAAGGAGGGGAAAACAAAACCGTTTCAGCACCTTCAACCCCCACTCATTCATCAATGAGGCAACGGAAGATTCGGGTAGCGTTGGCGTCATACTTCAATTTTTGGCCGATGCTTTCCCTAAAAGCAATCAGGGTGTTCATCCTCATCACACATACACCTAAGTGCGCACCTCGCCAAAGCAGAACCCGAGCGGTGTTATACGGATAGCTCTGTCCTGTTGGGGGAAGTTTGGACGAGAAAAAGCGCCTCTTTCTTCCTCAGAGTCGATCCCTGAAACGGGTTGTCTCTTGTGTTAAATACATTCATTCAGGAAGGAGCCATCAATCTTCGCTGCTGTTCTCAGTGAGATGTGCAGCATAGGCTGGCCCCAGTGGAAACAACCTATTTGGGCAGGGCCCAGTATGCCAAAAACAAAACCGACGCCATCAGGTAGCAGTGAAGGAGACTCGGCTGGAGCAGGACGGAACCAGGATGCTGCTCCCGCACAGGGAGCCGAGAGCTCCATTGAACCCAGAGACAACGATGTTTTATTTGGAAGAGGAGATACAATCAATAGGTATGTTATCATCCTTGTGGTTTTCCTATCCCGTAGCCAGGTTCCAAGTTGGACATGCTGTCGAACTCTAACCTGCCTGATCTGATATCATTCATGCCGTCGCATCGACATTTTCTTCCGTGGAACCCTTTGTTCATGCGTGCATCAGGCATCCGGGCAATAAAAAGTTTCGAGAGCTTGTAGATTCCCACAAACGTGTCTATCTTGCATCCCGATTCAAGCAAGAGAAAAGGATGATTGCGGATGGTATTGTGGCGGCAATCGCAGAGCTTGACCCTCCCGGCCGTTTCCTGGCCAAGAACGCATCCACTGGATTGTGGAACGCTGTTGATCATGGAAGAGCCCGTGAAAAGACTTTGCAAGCTCTGAGAGAGAAGGCAAGGTCAGCGAGGGACCAGATGGAGGACAGAGACAATCTCGCGTTGCTCCAGAGATCATCCGAGAACAGCCATGATCAAAGCAACCGAGAACAACCACCACCTGCCCAACGCCAACAGTCATCATCCTTGATAAGTTCGTTGAGTGACAGTCAAATAGCCCACTCTGGTGCTGCAGCTGCAGAGGCTCAAGCCAGCCATCAGAATACGAAGAGGGCAGCACACCCACCTGCTGGAGTCCAGCCACATGCAATCTCTGGTTCTACGATGCCTGTTGCGGCCCGCGAGCTCCCTCTCGTAGCCCCACTTGCTCCCCCGCCAAGTCTCCCCGGTGGCCTTGTGACAAGAGCAAGTATAGGAGAGCTCTCCAGACAAAGGCAAGAAACGTCGATGTTGGCTCCTTCCTCCCAGCAGCACGCCCATTGGCAGCCACAACTTCACGCCGATCAGAATTCCTCGGGATTGGCATCGACGTCTCCTCTTCAGGTGAATCAAACTTCCATAGATTGGCAACAAGCACTTCTTGCTCATCAGGTTCCTGATACTGGCACTGCCACCACGGCATCCCAAGCCCAGCAAACTCAGTCAACGAAGAATGCAAACGCATTTATTGACGAAGCCCAGCTTTCGCAACAGATACAGACAAGTGAACCACCAACTCAGAGCCAACCAGAGCAGCTTGCTCCCCGATTTCCAACCACCTCTTCTGCAGTTCAGACGCAAGTTGCCCAACCATATGACCAGACAAGCCCAAGCACAGGCCAAGAAGCGCAGTATCAACCATATCTGGCTGACGGGACCCTGTCGACAATATCTGATGGGCTTTTGACGCCTCGGCAAGCCATCCAACCAAGCCATCTCGGCTCTTCACCGATGTCTGCTGGTACCTTTGAAGCGCTGCAAATGATCGCATTTCCAGTGAGCCCAGGCGTCATGCAACAGTCGTTTTCCCCACGCCGGTTGCCTCCTGCCAATTCCCCTCATCTGCAAAGACAACAGAATATGGGAAGTCATTCGCTTGCCTCCAGCTTCGATCAAACTACTACAGGGACTTCGCTGGCTCAGATGGATAGTCCACTGAGAAGTGAAACATGGCCACGGCGCCGGCAGCAGCGAAGATTGGAACCGAGACCAACGCAAGCGTCAGCGCCCTCGCAGGAGCCAATGCAAGCATTCTTGCATGCCTATCAACAGGAAGCCTTGCAGCACCAGATTCTGCCACAACCGCAAATCCGGCCTTTCCCTAGGCAGCAATACCTGTCCGAACTGGAAGCAAGCCTTCAGCATGCACAGGCTGGTCGTCGGCAACACCAGGACTCAATTGTCTCGGAGCGTAACCACGATGCGGGGGGCGAATCCAAAGAAGATGCGCTTAGAAATTGGCAAATGGATGCCGCCGCAAGTTTGGAAGGCATTGTAGCAACACCTGGCATGATCCGCTTGTTACAGGGTGCCGAAACGAACTTGGCAACTTCAGCAGGTGCTCGACGACCAATTCGCTTGCCTCGTCCAAACCTTACCCCTAGAGTTCGCCGTCGGTCCAACGACACCAATGGAGATGAAGGCAGTGAAGAAGGCCAATATGGCCAATATGCTCGTGAAGCCTGACGGCTTTCGTGGGCGGTGCTGCATCCTCTAGCTAGCTACAGAGACTAAGCTTGTTTATATACATACCCATCGCGGGATGCGTGCAGCGTCGGACATAGTGTTCCGCCACGGGTCGGTCTCGTATCGAATCATGCTATGCTGCGCATGGTTCATCTTTTTATCCAAGGTGCACTCCAACGTAGTCTTCAGGACCTTCTTCCTGGACGGTAACGAGCCTGAACATCAAATCTGATATTACAGGAAGCAATGCATTCTCTTTCAGGTTTGCCTCGTTCGCGGTACCAAACAGCATCAGAAAACTGCAATGGCAATGAAGCTAAGTACGTGGCCACCACCCACGCAGAGAGAGGATGCCCCCTATTCGAGATGCTCCTTGACATTTGCCAAATCAAGAAATGCGCGAATAGCTTGTGCGCTCCTTGTCCCACACACGAATACTTCATCTTGTGATCTTGATCGTATAGTGTTCGCTACCTCGCTCACTTGGCGTAACCAAACAAGGATGAAGAGAATCGAGTCGACATGGAAGGAGCGAGACCCTTGACGATGCAATCAGTCAAAGTTTGCGGTGTGACTCCTTGATCCTTTTTGCCCGACGGTCGTGACAGTTTGCGTATTCCGCTTGGGTTCGAGGGAGCACCATTGCAGAGCAGGAACGCTGAGTACAGCCCGAAAGGCAACGTCGTCATGAACATCGCGAACAAGTCCAGGGAAATAATGCATGTTACGATGAAGACGCCAATAAGAGGGGAATGGAGCAAGCTCCAACATTTTCAGGAGAGTGAAATGTTGAGCACAAGCAAGGGGGAAAGCGCCACTCGAGTTCCAGTCTTTCGTTTGGCGCACCTTCAGAATCGGAACCGACGGAAACAACAACACGGAAAGACAATTACAACTTGCCTTGAAACAATCTACGGTATCCACGGTACCATAGTAGAAGTGCTCCAACCCCTCAACGGTAGCGAACTATTACTAGAACTAGTACTCTCTACTAGCTAGTAATAAGCTAGGTAGCAAGGGGGGCGTGAATGATTGGATCTTCCTTTTAAATTTCAAACTTCTACTTGTACAGGTAGTAGCTACCAGGTACCAGGTATCGGTACCGCTACCGCTACGTAGACTTACTTGCCTCCCACTGTGTTGGCGGTTGTATTGGCTCTTGGTGGTACGATAAAGAAACACCAGGGCACACTGATCATGATGAGCAGCTTGGAAACGAGACACTTCGACGATTGCTGAGCCACCTAAACGGAAGACGGTTTTGGAGTTCTGGGGACAAGCAGAGGCAGATGCTCTCTGCAAACACTCTGATTGTCGATGGGTATCATAGAGGTGGTCAGTGTACTTGTGCGAGAGAGACTGTCTGCCCCAAAAGCCAGATGTTGGCCTGGATACAATTGTATACTGTACCAAACACGTGCAGGGAAGCAGGCACTCAAGCGCGGGTCAACTAGCGCTGAATCCAGAGGTTGAGGGAAAGTACCAATCGTGCTACATCTACTAAATGTTTCATTTTCAACAGGGGCAGTAAGCAATGCAAATGGCACATCTCTACAGCGAACATTGTCCATACCAATTCCCAAGGAAACGTCGCAGCCTCGTGCTGGATCTTTCTAGAGGATAGGAGGCACATCCCGGACTGGAGAAGAAATCTGAGTTTCCTGACGAGAGGAATCGAATCTTGCTAGACACAACTACTTCAATACCACAGCTTCATTTTAACCTTTGCAGTTCCTTGAGGAGGTCTTGAGACAACCTGAAACAGATCACCAGATCACCAGATCAGGCATCAGCAGCGACGTTTCATGGGAGTCCTGCACTCAGTCAGCTGTCAGCGACGGCAACAAGTGCCGATCACCGAGCATGGTTTCGATTTCTTTCAGGATGCTGGTCTTATTCCCGGCGGAATTCCTTCTGGCGGAAAGTGCAACAGTGGGTTTGATTTGAGCAACGTCATCTCCAAGCTTATCAAAATACCAGTGGATGTCCGCCGTGCTCACGTCATGCCTATCATAAAGCTGGTCTCAACCCAGTTCACCCGAAGCCCACTGTCCACGAGTCAGACCCCAATCCACCATCCTCCCCTTGATAGTGGTCAATGATCATGATCATCCCCATACTGAGCTACTTGTAGCCTGCACCCCCGAAGGTCGTAACCAAAGCAAGTTGAACATTTTCCGAGAGACAAAGAGGATACGGAAGGGCTCGATTCTCATGTGCTGCTGCGAACTTTCCAACAAAAAATGTTGCTTTGATGCAACATTCACCATTGAGGGTGAAAACGCAATAGGCGTCACAGCAAAATTTTCAAAACTATGCATCATACAACGCATTGCCATGTGCATCTTGAAAGGCAACGATCTATAGGTGCCAAGATGCAGGATGAAAACATCCAGGAACAAGGAAGGAGTGCTATTAATAAGGGGGTTATCTCTGTCGATTAACATCCCTTTGATCCCCAGGCACTTGTCCACCGGCGGCAAGTTTTTAAAACAGTAGGATTTTCTTTGGACCAGGTCTCTCTTATTGCTTCTCTAGCTGGTTCAAGTGGCCCCGTGCGCTCAGACCCAAGGTATTACAATAGTAGATAGATTCCTAGGAATCGAATCGGGTTGGAAGAGTGAACTCCGAGGTCGCTGGCTGTATTTGAATTCGTACCGGTATGCTTCAAAGGAAGTGTTTGGAATCTCCCCTGAATATTCTTCGACTGGGCATCTACTACTTACGGTACCGCAGTACCATACTGTACTAGCTAGACTAGTACAGTGGAGGAGTTTTGTTTTGGAGCGAAAAAGTGGAGACTGTCCAGGGAGCCCGCCAGCCAAAATCGGCCTTCTAATCTGCAACAGTAAAACCCTGCGAAAGCTGTTTGAGTGATCTAATAAGAAACACACTGGTGAACTGCCGCACTCATCTTGGGTGCCCCGCAGATTTCTATCGTAGACTAGCTAGACTATAATTTTTAAAAAGAAGCTACAATCGTACAAGTACAAAGCCCAAGTGAAGCAATGAGCTAGCTAAAGGTAAGCTACAGGAGTCATGCGCAATCAGAATTAATTGTTCGCGCTATCACCTCATCTGTGCGTCGGTAGGCTGCAAGCAGCGTGTGGCCAAGCAGCCATTTTACGATCACCAGACTTGAAAATGAAACTTTGCACATCACTTGGGAAGTCATGACCGTCCAAACGATTGGAATATTGGTAGCAGCATCGAAACTTGGTTTGCTAGCAGCTACCGGTAGCTAGCTCGCAGCTATAACTGATGTGTTCTGGGAAGGGTGACGTTGGGTCTTCTTGGAGGTTGTGCAAAAATTCCCAACTTTGCGCCCTCGTTCGCTTGGTTCTTTGGCATATTCATTGCTTGCTACTGGGGATGGAGCAAACCAGCGCCAATCAGTGCCACCACAACACAGACAGCCCTAAACAGTGCTTGGCGGTGGTAGACTTGGCTGGCTCAGTGGTAAACAGTGTTGATGAAATTGAAAACGGCATAGATAGTTGTAATCAGTGCAGTCGTATGGTACTGGCTCTAGACCTACCCACTAGCTGGACAGCCACAAGCAACAATGGCGGACCTGATTATACTGGATTTCTCCACCCCCACGAAGCGAAGACAGAGGACCGATTAGTCATGTTTACTATAGCAAATACAGTACTATACTACCTCTGTAGCGTGCGGTACAAATCCTACACGGCTACCGCACGTCTACGGCACGCTACATACAAACGTCCGGTAGGATGTGCCGTAGAGGTGCGCGCACTGCGCGCATTTCACCCATGTTTAAGATAACAAATATTTGCTTCCAACCCTTGTTTTAAGATACTTCGAATGGGTACGAACTGTACCTGCATGTACCGTACTTGTACATAATCCCCTCTGGAGCCCCTTCAACTAATCACTTTTACGGGTACCGCAACTCAAAACATGTGCAACTAGATGCCTTTGTCCAGACTAGCTTAACCCTCCTCCT